TCATTCAGTCACCCCATGTCAGGCTGGTCTGCACTCTGCTCTCTGACTTTGCTGTCCACAGAGGCAGAGGGCTGTTTATTCTCATTTAAATAGTGTGTGTGTGTAAATAGAGCTGTTTGCTGTGTATTTGAATATTGCCATTGCCAAAACTATTTGAACTGGCCTTGTGCTGCTGCTCTTTGTCCTGTGCTTTCASAGAGATTATTCCCAATTCCCAACACCTGAGAGGCTTCTTCAGGAGATGGAGGCAGTATAGTGGAGTCCTGCTGAAGTGATAGCAGAGCGTGTGCCTTGTAAGATCACGTGGGTCATTCTGTCAGGCATTTGCACCTTGCCTTTAAATATGCTGCAAGGAGAGGGGGAAGTGGTGGCAGGGAAGACKCAGCTGTAATGTTTAATAGGTAATAAGGGCTCATTTACATCTGATCCCTTGCTGACAGATGAATGCACTCCATTGATCTAAGTATGAATCATCTCAATCAGGTGAGTTTTTAAAGGTGTTTAAGATTGTCATCAGTGTGCTGTGAGATATGGCTATGGGGATGTAATGGGGTGTTGTAACGAGTTAGTGTCTCAGTCCCTCGCTGAGATGTTGGTGGATGTTTGCCAGCCTTAAAGACTCATCTCCAGGCCTTGAGGAGAATTCTGGGCAGAGCAAGCTCCCCATTTCATGCCAATATTGCTCTTGTCCCAAAGATGAATATATGACTCMAGTCTTGGAGGTCAGCAGGTATCCTGTGAACATCAAAGTTAAAAATTCACCATGACTTTGTATTTCCTTCCGGAAGTATGCAGGCATAGTTATTGCCACATTGGCTGATGATAACCTATCAGCTCAGTGTCTGCTTGCACGTACTTCAAATATCTGACGTAGTAGCGGTGCCTGGTTGGGAGTGTTCTTCTTTGGAATGCTGAAGACTTGAGGTTTTTGGACAGGCATTTAGCAGTGGTACATTTTTGTGGGATTGTAAAAGGTGTGTTGTGTAAACCACACCAGTGTGACTAAGGAGCTTTATTATAGTTGCTCTGTCATGGGAAATATTTGTGTGTTTGAAAATTTCAAGGAGACTGGGCAATAGAATGCTATAGAAGCTTGCCCTTCACAGGAAGAAAACAGTTTCAAGTTGATAGCATGATTTTATGGGGGAGTGTTGCTTTTTGTTGGGTTTTTTGTTGGTTTGGTTTGCTTTTTTTTTTGTAAAGAATAGATTTCTGTGTTTTAAAAAGAATTTGTTTTAATAGCTAGAGTTCTCAAATTTAATCAGAGCCTCCTGTGCTATAATGCACAGATACTTTTCTACCTTTTTTCTCCAGCTCAATGTAGAAAGCTGTACGTATGGGGCCATGTAGARAGGCCCCATATGTACCCCCTGTGGCAGGTGACGAGGCAGCTGAAGGCAGCCTTTTTCCCTGGTCCCATGGCAGACTCTCTGCATGGATTGCTGGTACTCCAGAAGCTGCACTGTGACCCATCTGCCCTGCAGAGCATTCCCCTGATTTAGAGGGATCTTTCCTAGAGCTCTAACTTGGTACTGCACTGCCTTTCTTGCTCACCTGCTGAKGGGCAGGTGCTCATATTTACAAAGCCTGTATTTAGTCCACAGTCTGAAACRCCAAATAACCTTTTCCTAATGAAAGAAAAATACCATCTTAATCCATCAAAACCTTTCTTATCATCGTTTATCCCTCGACAGCATATGAGAGGCAAGGGAATGCCTTCATAGTCTTCATGCACGTRTGAAAAGATATCCTGAGGTGCAACCATGTGCCTTTCAGTRCTGCTTCTCTGCCCAAGTTTCCATYACATCATTTTGAAGACTTGGATTTAATGCAGAGCCTCCTGGTTCTCCTTCCTGAGGAAATGGGGTATCACAAGGACTTTTGTCCATGTGCAGGTAAGGGGAGTTCAGTAGCACRGATAGAGTGAAGGAACAGCTGGGGATGTGAACATGAGTGTACAGGTGCTGCTCAGATGCCCACTCAACTGATGTATCCACCAAACCATTCCAGACCTTTGGTTTTAGGGTTGAAAGYTTTGGAAAGATGGGAGACAAATTCAGGCATTGGCTGAAAGTTAGCTGCCATTTATCCAAGCTCCCGTAAAAGAGGAGTTTTTACACTGATGCTGAAGGAGTTAATTTCCACACAGCTATAAAACTTGCAGTATTGCATTGATGTTCTTCTTTTAGAATAGCATTTAGCAGGTAATACCCACTTTYCTCTCTCTGGGAAGGAGATAAGAAGACATCCATACTGACTGCAGCCCTGCTAAGTGGTCAGCCAGGCTCAMAGTCTGTTTTCCATGGCAGGATTCACCAAAGAAGGGATCCTGAAATTATCCAAAGTAGTACTTTCATTCTRTCACACCTCTAAGGCTGTACAGGGTTTTCCTTCTCTCTAATAAAAACTTCCCAAAGGCTAGCTCACTTTAGACTTGCATGCCTTAGTGGTGAACAGAAACAAGAGGCATCCAAATGTCACCATTAAGTTTGAAACCTTAATATTTCAAGCATTTTGTTTTTTTCAAAACAGGTGCTTTGCAAAGGTAGCTGAAAAAAAAAAAAAGAAGTTCTGTAATAGAAAAAAAGTCTAGAACAGGCTAACAAACCAGTTTTAGTATAAATTTTTAGGTTTTACTTGTGCTACATAAAATGATRTATGTGGTAAGTGTGAAAGAATTGACAGTGCTACATGTTGTCTGGTTCATATTTTATAGCATTCACATTTTMGTTTCTAACAACTGCAATCCATAATTGAGACTGTAAAGCACCCAGTAGTGGCTTCTGTGGGTTTTGGCTCGGAAACATAAAATTTAACTCAGAGGAAAATGTCTGAGCTTTCAAAAAAGGCTGTTTTCACATAGTGGTAGAAAATGAAAGAAATTTCAGCCCAAACAAGAAATACAGACAGGATCAGGGGTTAGAATGCAAAAGTAATCAAGCTGATGTGCAAGACTGAACGGTCTGGAGCTTCCCTGAGCTGCACAGGCCTTGGCTTTACTCAAAGCCTTCAAACCCTTCGTTTGACACATTCAGAGCAAGTTGATAACACATTGAACGGCTCATGAGAGTGTGAGTTTGTTCTTGTAAATCTGTAGTTAGAATGAGCAGCTGGTAAATAAACACAGCCTATAGCCTCGGTGTTGTGCTAAATGTGAAAAGGGGAAGAGACTTAACAGACTGTTCTGTTTAAAAAGAAACATTTCCTTGTACTATAAACACAAACATTTTAAAACATCCTGGCTGGCACAGGGCTGCATGTTTTTGGCAGTGTGTGGACAAGGCTCTGGCAGAGGGATCTCCTCCCGGCACTGTCCCTCCCTCTCAGCGGGCTCCCTCCAGGACCAACCAGGACTAACACCACTGCCAGTAGCCAGGCACACACCATTCCCACATGTCACATTACCAGGCAAGCTGAGTGTGGTGGGCATCCCTCCTACCCCTCATTCCAAACTGAGTTCTGTTTGGCACCAGCAGCCTGTCCAGCCTGAGTGTGGTGAGACCCTGACTCCTCAGGCAGGGTGACAGGGCTCTGACATTGCAATTGCAAGCTCGATGGCTTGCTGAAAGCTGTCAGCATGACCCTTGCCCAGTCACCTCCAGAAGAGTGAGGGCAGCAGGAGCAGCCCCAAAGCCAGGCACATCATGCAGGGCTGTTTTGAACCACAGCCCGCTGTGGAGCATCAAACACACACAGGGGTCACCAGTGCCCAAACAGCTAYGTGGTGTCAGAGACCAGGCAGGGGAATGAGGACACCAGGACCTGCTTCAGCACACATCAGACAGGGCCCAGTGCTTGCTGGGAACATTGGGGGTGTCAAGCATCGAAAGGAATTTTAGGCAGATTAAAAAGGCTTTACAGCCCCTGGAAACTATGTAGAGGTGAAGGTCATAGCTTCATTTTGCTGYATAGGCAGGCCCTCCCTTAGCTACCGGGAAGAAACTCAGCAGCACTTTCTGTCCTGAGTGTATCATTCCTGTGACCAGAAATCAAACAGCACCACCGAGGAAGGATGAGATTTAATACTCACTTCATCTTTTGTGTTTGAATGAGTTTATTTATTTGAAAACATAGCGAAACTCTAGTTTTATTCCTGGTCAGGGGTTAAATCTAAATACATAAGTGAAAGAACAACTTCCTTCTTTGCCTCAGTCAGAAACATGCTCCCAAACTTATTTCTCAGCGTGTGCGCACAGGGCGGGTTTTGTATCCACAGGGGCAGCTCTGCTGGATCCTCAGGCTGTGTAAACAGCCCTGCCCCGTCCTGCCGCAGCACAGAGGATTCCTGTCCCTGTGTGMGACAGGGACATCGCGGGCCGTGCCGGGCCTGTCCCCAGCTGCTGCCGCTCTTTTCCAGGCAGTGCAGGGCTGCCCGTGGTGGCCGCGGAGGCTCTTTGGGAGGTCAAGAGGCCCGTTCCGAGCCGGGTCGCAGGGACCGGCCCTGTGCTCGGCGTGGAGTGGTTTGGGAGAGATCCCAAAGCACATCTTCCGCTTTTCTTCCCCTCTTGGCAGCAATCCCATCCGCCGGCTCCCGGCATCAGCTAAAAGTTCGCCGAGGGGGAAGGGACGGGGACCTCGAGCTGTGCCAGAAGGGCGAGGCTGCCACCCACATGTCGCACAGGCATAGAGAGGGGACAGGCCTTGGGAAGGGACGGGAAGGAGGCTTTCCTCAGGGCTGGGAGCCGCACCAGGGCGGATGGGGACGAGATGGGAGGCTGCCTGAGGCCCAAGATGTCCTCTGACAGTGACAGGCGATAGGCAGGGGTGGTGAGGAGAAGGCAGCAATTCCAGCACAGATGACAGCGAGGGAAGGTGCTGGGGGTTGGATAGGGAAGGCAGAGCCGGGGGGCAGGTGGATGCACGGCCCTGACGAGAAGGACTGGGACCGGGAATGCAATCCCCACCGGCAGGAGGGGGGACGTGGGCATGGTGACTAAACTTCTTGTAAAAGGGGGTGGAGAAAGGAAAGGGAGGGACAAGAAGCCAGGAAAAAAAAAAGCCCTGCATGTCAAGTCTGAGGAAATGGTGTGGGAACTGCAGCCAGGCGCCCTTTTTTTTTTATTTTTTTTCTTTCTCTTCTTCTTGTTCTCTCTTCTCCCCTCGTGTAGCTGAGAGGAAGGAAAGGAAGAAAGAGAAGTAGTCAGCTCAAATGTGCCTCGCTGCGCTGCCGGGGCRCGGGGGCTTGGCTGGAAGGATCTAGTTTCCCTTCGGTGGCAGGAAAAGGAGCCACGGGAGGAGGCAGAGACGGACACCCAGACATGCCCGTCCCGTCAGGCTGCTGGCTCCTTCTCCTGTGCCTCGCTGCCGCTGGCAAACAGGTAAGGCTGGGAGCGGGCGGAGGGGGGAGCCGGGAGTCGCATCCCTCCCGCAGGGTTGGTCTGCTCGTCCCGCTGCTCGGGGGGATCGGCGAGCTCGGAGCCCGCCGCATCCCGCGGATCCCGGCACTGCCGGAGCGGGGCTGAGCACAGCGGCTTCGCCTGCCTTACCCCCCGCTCTGGTTTGGCTTTTGGTTTTGTTTTTTATCCCAGCAACTCACAAGCTTCTCTCGCTTCTGTAAAATCAAAGTAGTCCAAACCCAAAGTTGCAAAGGAAGCCAGAGGATCTGCACGGAAAACAGCCTGCTTCTGCCCAGGGCAGGGTGTGAGAAACCAGAAAATATTTGCAGTGAGGTTGTTGAGGGATATAATTTGCATGTAGAGTAAAAATAAGGCAGACTCCACCCTACCGAAGAGATTTATTCGAGAGAGCGTGAGCACACTTGTCCCTCAGGCGTGGGACGCGGGGCTTTCGCAGCCCGGATTGAGCCTTCCAGCCGCCCCCGCCGGGATGGGTCCCCTCACGCAATGGCCATCGCGCCATCCCACGTGTGGCAGCCCCCGAGCGGCTCCGGGATATGGGACGGCCTTGTGACCCCGGGCCCACGAGTGGGAGGCTGAGGCTCGGAGCGGCCGCATAACTCGCTTGGAGGAGGCTGCTGTGCTGCTCACGACAGAGCCAGGAGCCCAACCCGGTGCCCGGTCAGCTGCCCCAAAGGGCAGCCCTTTCCTCTGGCGGGGGAAGATCGGAGCGAGGTTTGGCTCTGCGGTTGTTTGCAAACACAGCGTGCCCTGGTGCAGTTCTGTGCGATGCCAGGTGGCTGATGGTCAGTGTGTTACACTCGGGATCGTGGCCAGTCTTCCCCTGCTGTCGGAAAGACCATTTTCTACAGCCRGCTCTCGCTGAGCCTTTTGAATGGCGTGTATTGCGTTTCCTCCAGTGGTTTACATCTGCAGAACCTTGCTTTACTTTTCCAAATTRTACAGCATAAAAATTATCCCTCTCCCTTCTGGTTATCTAGACCCTTCTAGACTGGTGGGATTTACAAATCMCATGCTGCCCTTTATTTATACTTTATTTCCTCCTTTAATCAATGTATGGCATCCCCACTACCATTTGTATTTCTTTCATCTGAGCTTCTGGTATTTCTCTGTGTCTCATTATTCTTGTTAAGTTATGTAACTTTAAGTGCTTCCCTCAACATGGTGCTGTAACCAGGCCATGGCTGGGTTCCCTGAGAGCAAGGTGCAGCTTCAAGAAAAAAAAAAAAAAAAAGATAAAAAACCCAAACCAAAACAAAAAACCCTCTGCTGTCTTACAGCTTACAATTTAATGTCTGACCACACAATCCTGAGAGCCTTTCCTCTGGATCCCTGGTCCTAAATATGTTGCCTAAAACCACACAGGCCTTTTTTTCCYCTCTAAAACATACGTTTTGTTTTGTCCACCCTCACTCTCAGGCTTCTCTCAAATTGCTGCTTTCCAGGTGTCCTCCATATGTACATGCATGAGCCTGCAAATTTCAAAAYTGACTTTTACATCACAGCTTTCAGGTGGTTTGTCCTGCTCCTCGATATCCTCAGTGTCTCTCTTTTTTGCTGCCTTGGTGTTCAGGACTGATCAATGCAGCAGGAAGAGCAGACCTCAATGCTCTTCGTACCTTTACTTCAGGTCACTAACAGTTGCACGTCTGCTTCCTTCTGGAGCCATTTGGGTTTAGTACRGTTTTTCCCTTTGGACTATCCTCATTGTCTCAGCTTTTGACCAAACTTTGGAAATTCAGATTTCCATGGTATAGTTCACAGCATGTTTCAGGTACCCTGAAGTAGGAGCCAGAGTGCCTCGTTATTTCTCACCTCTTGATTCATAGCTTTTCACAGGACAGAAAACAAGGAACTTGTATTTATTTTGGGCTGATGTGTACAGTCTTTCCACTGCATCCAACACGTGCTTAATTCTGAGTCTGTAAGTGTTTGTGTAGGATGCAATTTTCCATAGCCATTGCTTTGGACAMGTAGCAGCACAAAATTATGGGAAGCTCCAGGAGAGTTGTAGTGTAAAGATAAGGATAAGCCATAATTTGCCAAAGAGCCCATTAATTCAGTATTCTGCCTTCAAGAGTGAGAAGAACCTACAAGTCAAGAATGTGAAAGCAAGACAAGCTTAGAGAGGTGCTGCTCTGGGTCAGCCTTTCAGTTTTTCCTTTGTTTGACTGGCTTGAACAGTGGTTTYTTATAAGAACAATGCTTTCTGATGGAACAAATGGCAGAATACCTGTGGGAGCACTGAGGTTTTTCTAATGCACTTGTGTTAGTTTAGACTTAATCATAGGGTGAAATAGTGCTTGAACAGTGATATTTGCAATATATTTCCTGCAAAGAATGAGAAACATTTGGAGATGTAAGTTATTGCGTACTCACTCAGAATGCTGCTGAGAATAGACATCATCATTGTCATCATTTTCACCAAAGAGGAAATGGGAATAGAGAATTCGTGACTTGCTCTAGGTCACACACCGAGCGTGGAGCAGAACTTCAGGGAGCAGAGCTGAGCTCTACTTGTCTTGTGCTTTAGCCACAAGATGATCTTTCCAAGTGTTTCGTTTTGGGCGCCTGTYGGAGGTGTTTTGCTCTCTGAGACATGACCTGCCCAGCTTCTTTGCACGGAATAGTCATATCCCTTTCCTTGCTTAACACCACTAAAGAGCATCAGTGTTATTGTCAAATGGGAGTCCAAGTCTCTGAAAATGTGCATGTGCAAGTGTGCAGTAAACCAGTTGCACCACAGACTCTTTTCCCCTTTTGTGGCATGCGATGGGCTCTTCCACTACTCTGTAGCATTGGCTTTATAGGGAAAGTTTCCTCCTGGCAAGCTTCTGGAATTCTTAGCAATATAGAAATGTTTTGGCTAAAATATATCTTTTTCTTTTAACTTCCTAAAGTATACAGTCTGTGTGATGAGAGTGGGGACAAAAGAGTGTGACAGTGACTATACGGTGTTACATCATGGGCTCTCCTGGTCCATTATTCCTGCTCCGATCAGAGCCAAAGGAATCATTCAGAAGAGCAAAACTTCTGCAGTATCTTATCTAAACACCTAGATTAATTCTGTCGTTTACAGCATGGGCTTCAAAACTGCTGTAATTCAATAGTTCACTTGTCAAAACTCCCTTTGCAGGAATGGTTCCTGTGAGGGACACTAGCAAGTCTTTAATTGTTTTGCAGTTTCCCCCAGAACCTGTGAAAAATCTTGCAGTACCTCATATAAACAGAACATAATTTATGTAAAACTACATCAACCCACAATTTAAAAAACCTGTCCCACTTCTGTTTTCATGTTAAGCATCATCTGCCTGATGTAATTTCTTCTTTCTCACTAACAGGACCAAAACAAACCTTTGCCACATTTCACAAGTCGGTGGAATTCAAAGGTTATCAGACATCTCGAGGGTTCTCACCAGTGTCATTTAGGGCACAGGGCATTCTTCACACTGTGCCAGAAGAAAAAAAAACCAAAAAAAACCAGGTCAAATTAACTGCGTTCCCTAAGGATCTTTTTTTTTTTTTCTATTGCCCATTACTGTTTATTTTGCTCAAGCTCAGAAAAGTGGGATTTAATTTGACAGCTGGGCAAGAACCAATACAGATGATAAAAGGGATGTATATGTAACTACAGCATAGAAAATCATGGAAACCTCAGAGTGGTGCCCTGTAACATTTATACCTTAACACTACTTAGTGGAATCATATTTGAGTCACTTTGCAATGTTTATCCATCTGTCCCTTGAAGTTAAAGTGGTGAAACGCTCTCCTGTAGTAGGTACATACATAGATGCAAGGAAAAGGTAACGCTTGCTGCAAGGCTGTCCTCCTGGCTCTCCCTGCCCACTTCCTCTCTGTACAAMCAGGTCTCCAGGAAGTCTTTGTGGTGACCAGGTCCAGGAGGGTTTCTGCCACCACATGCTGTGACCACAGAATCCAGATCTCCCTCCATCCTATGCCCTGTGCTGCCAGGGACTGCACAGGCTGCTGGGCACTTGGAGGAGGTGGTGGCTTTGTGAGCTGCTTGAGCTTACACAGGGAACAGTGGGGACAGGAGGGAAATGGAGATGGCTGGTTCATCAGCTGCAGCTGTGCTCCTTGCATGGACTGTCCCCTTCCTTTCCATGGAAATGCAACTTGTCASGCGGTACTGGCTTCCGCTGCAGACACACACCCCTGTTTTTAAGGATGCCTTGGTTGGTGTTGCTTGCACGGAGAAGCAGCTGCTCTAAGAATGGCTCATTATTTGCTGAGGGAAAATGCAAAGGCAAATGTTTGTGTGTTATAAATGCAAGATAAAAATTAAGTGATGTTTAACCAGGTTGCACTCTGGACTTGAGTAGGCCTTGGTCTGTGCGACACAATAGCCTGCCTGCAAGAACTTGCCCCTTTTTATGACTTACTCGTCTTTGAAAATGGTCCAAAGTTCATGTAGGAGAAGAAAAGCTCCACACGCAGCCATGTCTGGAAGTCACAAGGTGGGAGTTGGGCTCTGCCGGCTGCGCTGGCACTCAGGGCAGCCTGCTGTTGTGTCTGCCCCGAGAGAGCACGACTTGGTGTGATGCTTCAGCACTGGGGAAATGCAAGTTTCCTGACTTTTCCTTGTCTGTGTGTCACCGCMGTGTGCTGTCACCTTTGTCATGGGGTGCCTGGAGGGCTCAGCACTGCACAGGAGGAGCAATGCTGATGTCACCTTGGCACTCCAGGACATCCTGGTTTGTGTTGCATACCTGTGTAGCCAGCTAAGCTGCTTTGTGCAGGACTTCCCATGGTTACCTCTTTTGTTAGCCTTTTCAGGGTGTGAGTTCTGTGGGCATGGCTTTCTGTGGTGTTTGTGCAGTGCCCARGATGTCACGGCTGCAAACGAAGCCAATGAGTCGTTAATCACCTCGGGATAGCGCCCCATCCATTTCCCCCCGAAGTCACAGGGAGGTCTGCCCGCGCAGGTCCGGCAAGGGAGT